CAGAGGCGACCCCACACACATGGGGTTAAAAACAACAGTAGTGTATTTATGTTCAACAGCTACCAGCAGTTACATATCACAAATACATCTTGAGACCCACCTGTCCCTTATTTAATAAAATCATACATATTAAAGTAGGGACTTGTCCAACAAGGGGGTTACATTCTTGAATAATATCCTAAATTTTGGGTGAAAAAATTCACTCTTGCATGCCCTATTCTGCTGAGGTGCAACATAATAGTAAGCAAAATTATACCATCTATTAAAAAAAAAAAATCGAAGAATAGTCATATTTACTGGATATGGAAACAGGCAAATCTTAGTGAAAAATATATCAAAATACAGAAGTAACACCATGAGATAGTTGTTTATTAAGATCTTCCCAAGGACCAGCTACATAATATATGAAGCAGGGATCACTACAAAGGGCTCACCATGCTTCACTTCTATTCCACCTGTACTTGCATTTTAGCACCACATTAAATTTTTTAGTGACATACAGGTACTGTACTGTACTTCCAAATTTGTGGATGTCAGAAAAAAATTCTTGCCCGATACAATTTCTATTTAATATCCATCAACCATATGAATTACACCAGCAATTGGCAGGTGTCAGCTACCATGTTGCTTTATCATGTGTTAACATAGAATATTTGTGTTTGTTTCATATTGTTTTTTAAGTAATTTGATGTGGTAATACATGTCATTGGATACTGACATGTTTGAATAACTTCTGTGGTGATCCCTGTGAAGATATTAGCTGGAACCAAAAGTTAATATTTTGTATACAGTACTGTTGTAATAAGGTGAACTATTATGTGCCAATGAAATACTAAGTACCTGTATCTGGTGGGCACTTTAATACATATAACAGACCATCATTGCCTAATTTCTCCAAATTGAACAGGAGAAAGGAAAATCTTATTGTTAGGAAAGTACCATAATTAGGGTAACAAAGGGCCACACACAGAAAACAAAGTGGGTCTTTTATTTGTTCAGTCCCTTAGTCCAGAATAATAAAACATAGTTCTCTTGCATAGCTTAACTTGAAATACTGTACAGGTACGTACTCATTACAAGCAGTGTATCGAGATCATGGCAATAACGTCACAATGAGCAACAGCTACAAATCTAAATTCATGATTTGGCATAAACTAGTTCGTTCTATGTTCCACTGCAGTCACTTCTTAGGTACAGTACTGGAAGAATAATTCTATGTACCAGCTTATAGTGCCAATCTCTACTGAAGCCTGTCTCTCTTTGTCTACTGTACTAGTTATTCAATACAGTACATGTATTGTGAATTTCTCATCTAAGTTGATAATGTAGGTTAATAATTCTAAACAACCGCACTGTAGCAATACATGCTGTATACGTATTAGTTTTCAATTAATGAGCTAAAAATGCGCAGCTATATTTTCACGTAAACAAGCCAGATATGCAGACTTACTGTATATGCAATATTGTAAATACCGTAACAAAGCTGTTTAACAAGAAGACATGATTTCGAATTCTGGGTTTGCGGCATGTTTCTGCCATGTAAAATATATTATAATATATTTAGCACATTAGTTCCATACTGTACTATGATTTAAAAGATTAAATGTAATGTTATAATATTCATTTAGTTAAGAACTCTAATAATGTTCCTATGTATTACCAGATGGTAGGATGAAAATTACAAAAAATGAGTTTTAAGACTTAGGTGTATGTCAGTACCATTTAGCATTCCAAAATACAGCTATAAATATTCAGCACTGGGAAAGTATCACAGCTGTTGCACAAGTCAAGACACCATATTCAGTCCAAAAATATCACAGGTATAACATGTGTCTGATTTAGAGACACCAAATGTGAGATTTCTGAAGAACACTTGAACATTCTTTATTGTACAGTAATAATATTGTCATTGTAGCAGAACAACAGGAGTATCTCTTTTTCTCTTGAGGAAAATTATTGGACTCATAACAAACCACAACAAAACAGTGATGTCAAAATCTCAGTGTTTACAATCTGTCCAGGAGGCAGGACAGCTGAATTAGTTGACAATATATGAAATGATGCTATGATGCTTCCACCAGAGTTTCTTTTATCTGATTACTTTATTTGCCTCTTAAATGAAGGATAAAAGCATTACAAAGTATATCAAATATCTTTCTCTCAACTAATAAAGCTATCTTATTAATTTTTATCATGTGTTTATTGAATTTACTTTGCCTTTACAGTGTCATAATTCAGGGCATAAAATATTTTTATTAGTTCTTTTTTTTTTACTTTAATCACTTGTCTGCTTCTCACCCAAAATACCTCACATATATCTTGTCCTTTTATATAATTTTGTCAGTTAGAAGATGAAATATACTCATCCACCTTTATTATCTATCATTGTCTTACTGAAACATGAAATACTTAGTTACATGGATTAACCCCATCTGTTGTGACCATCTGGCAACAGCAGGAATTCTTTGCGTGACTTGTAATACCATCTTTTTAAAACCATTATCGTTCCATTATTTCTCATCGAATATTCATGAAATATCTTTTTTTATTCCTAACTGCAATTCTCAGCTCGGCAATAACCTCATTTTCTTTTGACTGAATCACTTTACTTGTACTTTAAACTGAAAATGAAATACTGAACTACTATATTATTCAACGAAATGTTCAGACTGTGAGTGCACCATCACCCAAATGTTGTACTATCATGCACTCATCTTCCCACCCCCACAACATTTGCACACAAGCTTTGTCGTCAGTGGAGACAATATATACATGGTTCATTAGGCTGCACTTTTATATGGCCAAGTGATAGCTACCTGTACATGGATAACTAGGGTGGGTAAAGTTGAGTCATTGGTTGATGTAAGTATCTCATACACACACCGCAATTTTTGTAATTAGCTTCAGGTAATGTTAAGTGACTTGCTACAAGTTCATATACTGTATATAAACTGATTATTTCTTGTCTCACTGCACTTGTCACCACCCGCAATACACCAGGCCAAGTCTTATATCATATGTCTATGCCCTCAAGCAGGACATTTACAACTAACCCAAAGTATCTTAAGCTAGGTTTGATTGGTTTGTGTTGATTTAAAAATAAACAGTTTCACACTGTTGTTCATGGTCATTTTTCACTCCTGAAAGTTTTGTATCCAGATGAACCTTCCTACAGGAGTAGATTGTAAACATTAACACTGACATCATGGTAGAACTCAATAAATACTTAGTAAAGTCAATAGTACTGTACTTAATATTTCTGAGAACCCCACTGAAAGTTTAAATGCAGTTGAATGATTCCTGTAATAATACTATAAACACCAGTTCATATCAACAAACATTCCCACAACTTGTACAGTGCTCTAAAAAATGAAGAACTGATCCTGAGATCCCATTTCTGGCTGAGCATGAAACTAGGTGAATCACGAATAAAGCCATGACTCCTGGGATGCAAACCCAAACTTAACCCAGACTCATCATACAAATTGGGATGAATTTATGAACTTATTTCATGTCCCCATCACAGCAAATTCCAAAAATATATCTTTAGACTGCAGGTCACCATTTACAGTTCCAAGTCTCTCATAAGCCTACAACAGTGGGAACTGTATGGATTAGCCCAAGGCTTCACTGGTACTGTACACAAAACAGAGGCAAAGCACTTATCTCCATGTCCTAGACAACAAGAAATCTAAACTGGGATTGAAGAACTTGATGCCAGGCAATCCCACTACAGCTAACCCGGACAAAGATCTAATATTTCATGTCTGCTGAAGTGGTAGTCATAACTTGTTGCTTTCTATTTTGAATAGTGACTTATTACTTCCAAATACAGTATATATACTGTAGTGTACCTGTATATTTATATATTTTAACTTGGTTATGAAAGAGAAGGATAACTTATTCATGAATGACTCCCATCTATTACCCCAGGGTTATAGCCCAGGACTCATAGCTTATAATTCATGAATCCACTGGAGAAGGTCATCAGCAATAAATGGAATGTTATTTAAAATGTAATGTTATTTAATTTGAATATCTGCTCATGTATCTCCCAATGAAACTTGCAGTCTTTAGTTTCATATCACATGATATCAAACTCTTAAGAGTAACATTAGATATGTAAGATATACTGTAGTAGTCTAAGGCTCATATTACACTTTATTAATAACTAAGTTATGTTTGTTAGAGATAAAAGAATTTACTACACCACACTGCATTGGTAATCAAGTATCTTTCAATTTAAGACACAAATTTACAGATCATAAAGTGAACTCTGAAACTTGTAGTGCTGTAAAAATTAATCCTATCCTTTCCCTTGTATTACTTAACAGCATATCAAGCATTTAAGAAGAATCATTAATATATCATCTAGTATATACTGTATACTAAGCCTTGTAGATATTGAGAAATATACATTCATAAGCTTTAATTACAAAATTCGAGGTAACTACATGAATAAATATGAGACTGGGACTAGAGATGTGTACATAAGCATGGTTTATATTTGTAGGTAAATTCAAAGTACTACAGGTTGGACCCCGCTAGTCCGGATCCCGATAGTCCGGCAGCTGTGTTGGTTCAGGGACGATGTTTGAATCTGGCTGTCGTTAGTTTCCAAGACTGTTAATAAAGAGGTCCAGTAAGCCTGGGCTAGATTTATGCTGATGTAAGTTGTATTGGTACCAGTAATAGTACATTTTATACATTATTTTCCTCCTTTTTTAATCTCAGCTTTGATGGTTCGGAATTTTCTCTATTTCAGAACCGGTCTGGTCCCAAGCTTCCCGGATTAGCGAGGTCCAACCTGTATAATCATATGACATTTCTCTTTCTGGATAACTTAGGTGGTACTCCTCCTCACATTTGCTTGGTCCCCCATCAATTCCCTCAGAAAGGTAATTTTGGTATAAAAGTAAAGTAAGTTTATACAGTGATTGGCATAACTGTAGAATCACAGTATAGTAGTTGAAAGATGATGGAAGAATGACAAACATGGATACAAACCAAATAATTTATATTTAATAAGCTGTATAAAAACACTTAAAGCTTAGAGCTCTATACATACAATATCCTCTTTGACACTTCAAGTCCTCTCAGATTTGAGTACTGAGATCAAATGGCAATGCTTGAAAGACTTTATGAAGACTTCTGTAGGCTGAACACACCTTAGCATTATCAAGAACAACATTAATTACTTAACACACCAACACATGTATGGAACCAATGAAAATGATGACACCAAGCAACAAACAAGCCACTGTTATTCATAGTTCTCACAGAAGCAGGATTCAAACCAATTAGATATTGCTAAACAAATAAAGCTTTCTGTTGATACTGTAGTCCTAGAAAGGCAAAGTTTTATGTTAGGTAGTACATTAAATCACTGGGTCCATCAGTGTATGCATTACACATTTTAAGTACAAGGTGAGCAGTTACCACATTTATGAAAATATTATGTAAAATAAGCCAAAGGTTGCATAAAGGAAAGTACATATCCCACACTCTGTCTCTAATTATTATCCACCCTATCCATACAAATAAATTATTACAACTACAACATGATATGATCAACTTTGTAGACTACATTGTTGGACTTTGAGAAGTTATCTTCTAAACATTTAACTGCCTTCAGGCACAGTTGCGGAAATGTGTTCCTACACCCCATGTGGTAACCTGAGTCTCCAAGTGGCAACGTCGCAGTAGTAGTATCACTATTTAAGAAAGAATGGGCATCGGTCATGTAACGATGAACGTTAACGGATGTGATTGGTGGATAGGGTGGCTACAGGTCATATAGGTTGGCAGTTTGGAGAGACAGATTACCACAAAGGGTGTAGGAACACATTTCTGCAACTATACAATGATACAATCTGACCTGAATGGGAACCAATCCAGCCTTATTCCAAATATTTCAATGCAGCTGGACTGCATTTCAAGTGTATATACAGTACTCACAATGAGGCAATGTTGACACATAATAGGTTTTGGGTCCATAAATGACACGTCCACATTGAATGGTTCAACCACAACAGATGAGACACCAATGCCTAAATAATCAGTTGAAGCAGTCTGCATGTAAGCTTACTTAAACATTTCTTAAAGTGGTGAATCACTAAGCATACTAAGCACATGTATGCAATCGATGAAAAAAGTGTCTTTTCTCAAAACTTCCACTGTGTATACTAAACCAGAAGTAATTACTACAAAGAAACTACTTGTTCATGTAGACTACATTGAGCACAGTTTGCAAAATGATCCAAGATAACTCCCAGTGCTGCACAGACAAGTATATGACATCCACTTTCCATGTTATGCACCACTACATTTTTACACAATAAATTAAAAAAAAAAATTACTAGCTTCACATAGTAAGGTGAAGATGTCGTTTTAATTTTCTCTAGTTTATATTCTTATATACAGTACTGTACTTAGCTACCTCTCAGGAATGCTAGAGATTATTGCTCTTAAAGATCTAGTTTGTCAAATCAGGTCTATCTCAGCTTGGCTATACAGTACATACTAACTAAAACCCATAAGAAGCACTGCAAAGGTGAACAGCAAAAACTTGCAGTATTTAGAAGACTGCTAATAAAAGTTCAACAACGGGGTCTGTGATCTATAAAGTTAATTACTCCTTTTTTATTAATACTACTTATATATCTAAGAAATAATAACAGCACGATTAAAACTTAACACAGTAAAACCTCAGTGTTAATGTCTTGTACTTCTGATCTCAACACAGGTAACAATATTATTTATCAGGAATAACAACAATCTGAAAAGAATAAAAGTGTGTATATGTGACAGAGAAATTTAACTTATTCACAACAAGAACTGACAAGGAATTGCTCACTGTGACCATTCGCCATACCCACGGGCATTCAGTGTCTGATGTATAACACAACCTTAACCCTACTAACGGTATTTCATTCTCCGTTCCATCTTTCGCTGCTTCTTATCCACTACCTTTTCCTCGGGTTCTTCTGGAGCTTCTTGGAAGAACCAGGGACCCAAAATGTTGGTCCACAGCATCTGTGCTCCACGGCAAGGGGCCTGAAATAAGTGAATTCAAGCAAATATAAGTAAAATATTTTGGTGGAATACTGTAAATATAACAAACATAATAACTTTGTATAATAACCAGATGGCTTACTCTTAGGTACTGGTAGTTTTGTTAGTGGCTGATGTTTCAAGTGGCAGTTTTTACACGGGGCAAACTGTCTCTTAATTCTTCTGTTTATTTATCCCTAAGATGCCAATTTCTTTTAACATTTAGCTGGAAGGTTTTTATTTAGTGTCCATCAAGCATCCCTACCTCTGCATAACAGTTAATTCACACAATCCCACTATCACTCTGTGTTTTGAGGCTTAGTAATCACTGTGTTGGATCTGCATCATCTGGCCTATAAGACCTACAAGGTACTTCCCCAAAACACCACAGGTTTGCGTGCAACATGAGCACACGCAGTACGTATATCTTTTATGTGTAGAAATTAAATTCAAAATATTAAAGAAAAAACAATAATATTATCTATAGATTTAATGGATAAGTTAAGCATTCTTCCTGTAAATATGAAAGTTGTTTAAATTTTTTCTAGAACAGACTCGAGTCCATTGCTAAGGCTAAGTTGGACTCCCGAATGCGTATGTATGAATAAGATGGAATTTTCCCATTCAAGAATATTTAAGTAAAACAAGAGTACTGTATTACTATCCTTCCTTCAAATAAAGGACTGTGTTACTGTCATATATTTTCCCAAATCTGAGACAGAAACACAAAAAAAAACCCCGCTTCCTTCCCTCATTCCTATCTTCTGTCCCTACCGTCTTCTCTCTTTCCTATCTTCATTCCTTCTTTTCCCCTCCATCGCCTCTTCTTTCCTTCATTTGTCTTTATCCTCATTGTTTTCAATACCTGTACAAAACAATAAAACACACACACAAAAAACCCCCAGCAAAATAGGACAGTCTCATTCCAGATAAGGTGGATCGTCACTACCAAGTAATAACCCAACTCAACAATGAATTATTCTCAGGATGATCTTACCAGCAGCCACAGGAGCCAGAAGTATGAGGAGATAGTCCCGAGCACCACTGTACCAGAGGTTAGGATCACCAAGTCCTTCACATGTCTGTCGAGAGAAAATTGCAAGGGTTTAAGGTTCTCTGTTGTCATATACACCATCATCACCCTAAATACTTAATATACAGGCTTTTGTTTTCACACTTAAAGCCATTTTGTTATTACCTGTATACAAGGTAGCCAGAATGTAGCCTATACCTTCACTTTCTATTTCATTAACTTCACAGAATATTGTACTGTACTTGGACACTTACTCGGCTATTCCGCCCTCAATGTTGAGGTCACAGCCTTCATCTAGAATGGATCCATCAGCAGCTACCTTAGGTTTGGCCATACTTGCCATGAAGCGGTAACAACAGGTGAACACAACTCCCGCAAAGAACAACAATGTCTGAAGAAAATAAAATGCCATTTACCCAATGTTGGATACAGCACACTTAAAATGTGTTATAAATGTAACTCGATTCAATACAATCCCTCTGTAAAGCGTGATAAAAACAGAAACAACAATGAGCGGACTCTTTTTCATTACCAATTGCCTGAGAAACCTTATACAATAGACACCTTTAACACTGGAATGATAATATAGTACAGTACTGTATATTGTACAGGGTATATTTATAAAATTTTCAAGTAAACTGTGAGTGTAAGATGTATAACAATAGAAGAAGAATTGAAAATAGAAAATGGCAATGCCTCAATTATCCACTAATGCTTGTTACCGTAATTTTTCTACTCTGGTTAGCTCTCTCCATCTATGCTGTATAGTATGTACTGTAGTAAGATGACCAGAACCATGAGCAAACATAGACTCTCCTGTCATTCAATCTTACAAATCAATACTTAATAAGTTCCAATATATAACATACCAAATCCAGTGGTGGAAAGCTTTTAAAGCAGATCATCCCCACACCAAAGTAAATGCCAGCTGCACCTAGAATCATGTTCCGGTAGAAGTTGAGGGTGTCTGTGTTCTCCTGCATGATCTGCTTCTGGCCTTTAGTGCCAGGCTTCCCCTTTTGAATCTGGAAAAAAAAAATCACAAATGCTGTATTTAGTTTTAGATTCACAGGTCCAATGACAAGTCCTGTGGTAGAATGCTCCCTCTGTCAGTGTAGCTTCTGTTTTATTAAGTTTTGTGTTGTTGCTCGTTTCTCTGACTTGGAAGGGAGGCCAAAAAATATGGTGCAGACAAGAACCACCGGCACACATGAAAACAATCACAAAGAAACTCTTCTGCATAAATGATTAAGTGCCAAAAGGTTTTCAATCCATGTTAAATATTTTGTACCCGAGAGTAACAATAAATGTATATTATTCTAACACTTGATATTGCACATATTAATTTCACCTAAATAAAACATACTGTACACTATTAATCACTTTTGCTGATAATAGGCTTCTTTGTTTAAAATTTCAAGCTAAGATGCCAAACTCAGGAATTAATCAAGTTTACGTAGTGCAGTAAGGTAATCTATATCCCACTTCACAGCTGCCATATAGAATCAAAAAGAAAGTTAGAGATCACAATATGTATAAGTGCCATTTTCACAATGTGTGGACAAAATAATAATGAACTTTACCAACTTTACACTACAAGATGTGGAATTGAAGAGGGAGGTGTGAGGGAGGGAGAGGAACATATTCAAATGCTGTACCCATATAAAATCACTCCTAATTTTCTAATCAGTTCCTCAGCCTTTCCATTTCTGAAGTCTCATACAATCTTCTTCACTGTTTTCTTCTCCTATCTGTCGTCTGCAACTTTTTCTCATGCTTCTGGCCCATTTATTTGCGTGTTCCACCATGCACCTTCCTCTTAATCAATTCCAAATACTGGTAATTTACTTCTACAAACTCTATTATATAACTCATTTACAATAAAGACTGGGTTGATTGATACTATGTAGATCATAATTTTGTACATGACTGCAACTTCACAAGGGACATAAAATTAAAAAATCATATCATTTTGTCATGTCAGAAGAGATTGTCCTAAAATAAGATTAAAATTATGCCGAGACTCTACCATAACTGGATTCTGTACTTACATTCAGTCAATACGGAATTCAATGCATTTTTCTAATAGCTCATCACTTGACAATAAAACATACCTCACCACCTATGTACTTTGAGAGTATTTTGGCATCTCACAAGATATCATCATGCCATCCTTGTTTGATTTAACTACTGTACAGGTTTTTTTTTTATTTCATTTGGCTTACTTATAAGAATAAACTTCCTGAGGGTTCATAATAAAATGTGTATCTCTACCAAGTATATTTAAGGGCAAATAATTTTGTATGAGAAAAATTTACCATCCTCGGTCCTAAATAGTTCTTCCCATGACTGTAACCTGGTGTATCGCTGTAATTACTGAACCTATAACCTTGCAATCAACTCGGTCTCTACTGCATACCCTTACTTATATCTTTCCAGTAAGTACAGAGAATGTAATGAAACGTTTTCAATACATTCAATTTAAATTCCTACAATGCATATACAAAACAATAATTCAACGGATCACAACAACACCTGTATATACAAAACCAGGTGTTGTTCGTCTAAGAAAATACTTATGGTATTTTCTTACCATGAATGGGGTTCCATAGGCTCTCCTAACATATCTATTCCTAGGCTCCTTGCCCTTTGTTGAAATGTTTCTATGTTGTAATTCTCAGTGATTTCAAAACAGTCTTGAGAAAACAGTTAATTATAATGAAGGAAGCTCTTTTAAGTAAGTACAATAATCATCATAAAATCAATCTATTTATTCCTCTGTCCCACTCTTGTATGGGATGATTCTAGGTGTAAAGACTCCTTAAGTCAGAAGAAATAATAGGGGGAATTTAACACAGGTGTTGAAAATGAGGGAAAGAGCCAAGATTACAAATTAGAGAATAAAAGCTCATATCCAACAACCTTGCATATGCAGTAGGCAACGGAAATCTTCAGCATCCACAACGATTCAAAATGGTTTATGTATGCATGTACCAAGAATGTTTTATAATCTGTGTTGCATGGACCATTTTACGTCACAGAATAATTTGACAAAAAAGCATTATTAGGGATTATTTTTATTTCTTACGTTCATTACCTACATGTCGCTGTGTGCGCTATGGCCCCATGTCAATGTATATGCAACAACCTGCTTGCAACTATAGTAAGACATAAATCTTTAGGGTCGTGGGTTGAGTGATACAGTACTGGAAAAAAGTATCTCACATTAATCAGGAACTTCAGAAATTTTTTTTATGAAAGATAAATGTTTTCTTAATTCAAAAAAAAATTTCATAGCATAACTTGGCATAATATTATTTTGCAATTGATTTTGTCATGAACACCGATCAATGTTGACACACTACCTCTCAGCAATGCAAGCTTCACCGTTTACATTGCCAGGTTATAGTACATTACCACCTACCAGTATTACCTTCATTACTGGGGTAAAAGAAAATTCTTCTCCAAATATTTATCCTTGAGGTAAAATTTTCCTCTTTGTTAATAGGTAAATATTGGTAATTAGTAGCCCATTCTTGTAAAATATTAGCATGGTTTAATAATGGTTTGGTTTTAATCACTGGATTATGTAAAGCCACTAGTTTGCTTGCCGCTATGACTCAAGTCCCGTAAGTTTTTTTAACCTAACTAATTAAGGATAGCTCACTAGTTAATACATTACCAATATAACCATAAGCCTAAAACTAAATTTGTCTCACTAATTTCTTTTCTGATAAATGATTTAGTATGAATATAATTACAACGGGGAAAACTGCATTACAATTACTGCCTTTATCATCATCACTGAACATACTGAGAAGGTAATTTTATCCTCATCGTATGGAGATAAATATATATTACCTTTTTAGATTAAGTTTAGTGATTCAATAGCAATAATAAATGGAAAAAATAGAAAATATACATCAGATTCTTACCACCATCTTGCTTACTTCACTTCTGTCACTATCACCACTCAACCATTAAATCCAGTTTACACACAAAATACTAACTGGAGAGAAATTGTGTTAATAGAATATATACAGTCACAGTTTGTACTAAAAGTAAAATTTTATATATTGGATTTATAATTTAAATACTATAAATACTGTAATTTATTTTTGTTTTATTAAATGAAATATGAAATGACAACTGGATATATACCAATTGCCAACATGCTAGATGTCAATACTAGATAAACAGATATATTAAATCCACATTTCCTCGTTTCTTTTATAATTTGTTAAACTGGAAAAATGAGCCCTTTTTTAATATAAATTAGTAAGAATTTTTTTAGGTAAACTGTGATTTTTTTTAGGAAGAAGTCTATTTAGCGAGTAATATTATAAGAACAAAGTGAGTCCCTCTCAACTGGGGTCACTCATTTCAACCATAAGGAGAGAAATCCAAAGTTTTTGTTACCATTAGACGCCTAAACTCCTAGCTGGAGTTTCATAAATGCAATTGTCATAAATAGAACTACTGGGTAATTAGTTAGGGGCCTATAGGAAGCTTGCTTGAAGCATTATATGTATTTGGGGGATTTACTATGATTATCTATGATGTTACATTAACAGTCATGAATTACTAGAAAAACACATTCTGTTGCGAAACTATTTCTGTATTGAAGTATAGCAGTGGACATAAAAGTCATCCTTTGTTGAATTAACTTAATATTTAACATTTTCTATATACTTGTATCGTATATTAACATGATGCTCCAATGTGAACTTTTATGGCTATTATATTCGATAAATAAGGGCAACTCTCTTATAATTATACAAGTTAGCCATATAAATTTTACATTTTCTTTTTATAGTATCATAGAAAACAAATAAATTTATGAATAACGCAACTATTTGGTAATAGTTGAGCAGGGGGCTAACACCTGAAGGAGTTGTTTGATTTCGTTCTTTTTTGGCCACTGGGCCACTAGTCGGCTCTGAAGCCGGTTGGCCTGGAGGTCACGTCTCCATTACACACTGTTAGCAAGTACTGGCTCTCCGTTACACATTGTTGACAAGTACTGTCGCCGTTACTTTTACTTTTACGCTTATCCTCTTCACCACGGATCGGCTCGTTAGCCGCTTGGGCGATCGGTCACGTCTCTGTTACGCACTGTTGGCAAGTACTGGGCATGCACCGGCTCCTGAATGTACTTGAACCTGCTCCAGTGTTGGTCAAATCTGGTCTTGAAAGAGCTCACACTCGGTGCCGTCACAACACATTCTGGCAGCTTTTTCCAATAGTTCACAACCCTCACTCCGAAAAAGTTTGCCCTCACAGTTTTCTGGACTTGCGGCTTCTTCAATCTTGAGCTGTGACCCCTTGTGGGGAGAGCGTCCGCCAGCTCCAAGTTGGGACACTCAAATGAGTAGTGCCCCTTGAGATGCTTATACACCTCAACTACGTCCCCCCTTGCCCGTCTGTAGTATAAACTAGGCAAGTTCAGGTGCTCTTATCTCTCAGGGTAGCTGAGGTGCCGAAGTGCAGGCACCAGTCTGGTGGCCCTCCTTTGAACATTTTCAACCAACTGACAGTCCCTACCATATCTCGGGGACCAGATGGGGAAGCACTTCACTCCTGAAGATCGTTACGAGGGACGGACTGTCTAGATATCTGAACGACCTTCTTGTAAGACCGAATAATTTATTTGCCTGATTTACCTTCCTTTCGCAATGGCCCGAGAACTTCAGCTCATTGTCAGCATACACACCTAGGTCCTTCTCACATACAGTCTCTACTAGTGCAGTTTCATCATCCCGTTGGGACATATGGTACGCCTCCTTACCATTGGTACGCCCCAGGTACATCCTCTTAAACTTCGTGACATTAAATCTCAGCAGCCATTTCTTGGACCATTCCTGGAGCCCACAGAGGTCCTTCTGCAGCTCTTCACAGTCCGCTTGGTTCTTAATTCCCGAAATAACTTGGCGTCATCGGCAGACATTTGTATGGAGGAGTGTACAACGTCAGGCATGTCATTTATGAAACAAACAAACAACAGCGGGCCCAATACACTGCCCTGTGGTACCCCACTTGTGACAGGTACAGATGACGATTTCGTGCCATTAATCACCACACACTATCATGGTCACGTTGACTGCTAATCTGTTTTAACTAGTGATTCTTATGAAACTCCACGACCGCAAAACATGAGTGGGTTAGCGACCCCTGAGAAGAAGTGTTTTTCCCCATAGACGCTACACATGTGTCCCCTCCCAGAGTCCCGCCTTTGTGAAGACAGTTATCAATGCGTTGTTTATTCCACTTTCTCCTGGGAAGCTCAATCTTGAATTAGTCTGTGTATATGAACTCAAGTAATTTGCCAGACCTTTGTCAACTGAGGGTCATCTTTGAATGAATAACAGTTGAGTTGTTTGTAATCTCTGTCATTGCGTGAGTAGCGATCACTGGCAACTCAGGGGATATATATACCAAGGGATGAGGCAGGGCGAGCGTCCCCTGACGCCGCTCCAATGTTTCCCCAGATCCAATTGTGACTCGTGGATCATTCAACAACTGCCCCGGATGTAGTAGCTACTCAGCAGGGATCAATATATGAAACGATGGCACCGATTCGGCCTGATTAATATGCCCAACTGCCTCATAGTGCCAGACCCCAGACTCGCCATGTGTCTGGCTACCACCGACCACCACAACGGTCATGAGCCCCAGTGTTCTACCCTGGGTTACTCCCTGGAAGTTATATGTCAACAGAGGGTGTTGTAAATGTATAATTATCCCATGTTGGGTAGTGGACCCATGTATCGGCTGGTTTCAGTATTAACGTGTATGTTGAGTAAAGTCTTGTATCTGTACTGTAATGCCACGTACCACCAGTAGGTGTGAGAAGTACAGGAATCTACAATGAGTACCATGTACTATGTATTGTGAGTAGGGCCAAGGAACTGGTCCTGCTATGCCATGTAATGTAACACCAGTAAGGTTGTGTGCAGCAAGATTGTAAGATCTGAGTAACTACTGTTGAGTAAAGAAATAAGAAAATAAGTAAATAAGAAAATAAGTAAAGAAGAAAGTACTGAGTCTGCAATAAGCCCAGGAGGTGAGCCTGGTAGTTATATGTAATACTAACTTTTTTTTTTCCCTTTGATTTCATATTAATAAATTTGTTCTTAGAGTATTTTAGGTGTATTCATTTCTCCCACAGTATTTTACCTTTATTTCCGTCCAAGTGACTTGATACCAGAATTACCATACCCATGTGCCTAGACCCTCGACCATGCTACCAAAAGAATGTTCATGCTACCAAAAGAACTTGTGAAGGAACTGAGTAAGAGTAAGAACTAGAGAAGAGAAGTAAGTAAGATAAGGGTGGTGTAGGTGTTGGAAAACACGCGCCCTTACAACACTGCTTGCGGTCATGTAGAAAGTCTTCTATCCACGCTAGGACATTTCCCCGAATTCCGTACCCTTCCAGTTTGATTTTCAGCCTTTCGTGGGGTGCACTGTCGAAAGCCTTGGCAAAATCTAGGTAAATATTGTCGATATTACCACCCCGTTTCAGAATATGGGTCCAAATATCCAATACCTTGAACAATTGTGTTAAGCAGGAGCGCCCCGGCATAAAACCGTGTTGGCAATCCTTTACAAGGTTGTTTCGTATTAGATGTTCCATTGCGGCATCTCTAATAATACTCTCAAGTACCTTACATATTATGCTGGTCAGGCTCACCGGTCTATAGTTGTTCGTGGAGTGACGATCGCCCTTCTTGAAGATAGGACTCACATAAGCCACTTTCCATTCACTGGGGATCATTTGTTCATCCAGGCATTTACAAAACAGGATCTTCAGGGGCTCTGCAAGCTCGTTGCACAACTCTCTTAACACTCTAAGATGCACCATGTCAGGGCCGGGACTCTTATGGACCTTTAGCCTGAACAGTTTATTTCTAATACCCTCTTCTGTGAACACAATGTGGGTCAGTGCTGTGTCGAACCGTCTGTCATCAAACGCAGGAAGGTTAGTTGCATCCTCTCTTGTGAACACCGAGGAAAAGAAGCTGTTCAATGCCTCAGCTTTATCCTGGTCAGAATCTGCATAACTACCATCCATCAGCCTCAGGTCTGATACTCCTACTCGCGTTTTCAATTTCGACTTTGCATAGCGGTAAAACGCCTTTGGGTTTGACTTGACCTCGCTTGCAACCAGCCTCTGGAACTCCTTCTCAGCCCTTCTACACTCTATCTTTGCTTGGTTTCTGGATCTTGCATACATCCTCCTGTCTTGCTCATCGTTTAACCCAACCCACGTCTTGAATTTCTGGGTTTTCTTCTTAACTTTGTCGACCGCCGCATGGTTCATGTGTAGGGATCCCCTCGTATTCCTAGAAGCACTGGGTTTGGTCTTGGGTATATATTTATCGATCAAATGGGTCACTTTACTAGTTATGATATTCAGCGTAATGTCTGCGTTCTTGTACCTTAATGAGTCAGGCCAGTTGATACCTCTCATCTCTTCCCTCATCCCATTGTAATTTCCCCTCTGTAATGTGTCGGGTCTCTAACATGTTGGAACAGAAAATTATCTCTCAGAGTTTCTACAAAAAGAGTAGCAGGGTTATTCAAGTCATTCGGGGTGGACTCGTTTCTCCAGTCGATGTCGCCATAGTTAAAGTCCCCCATGATAGGGAGGTGGCTAGGGTTGAGCATCGCCGTGTTGTTTATTAAGGTTCTTAAGTTCCTTTGATTTAGTGGGCCACAGTTTGGGGATCTGTAGATACACCCGACGATAAGTAAGACCCCTCCCTTTAATTTAATTTGACACCACTTGGACTCTTCAAAACATCCTTTCCCTGTACCCTCGCCTGGCTGGCTCTAAGGTCTTGCATCGCATAGATAACCACACCCCTCTTGCAAGTTTCTTGAGAAAGGTTCGTAAATGAGTCATATCCAGCAATCCTGAACTCACATTCCTCTGGGTCGATTCTCCTGTTCTTGTACAACAGTTCTACAACATCTACAATATCTGGTTGGTGTACTCTTAGTAGTGTTTCAAACTCCTCTCTCTTATCAAGGAACGTGTCAGTATTAGTGTACATGACATTCAAGCCAGAATTTGTTCTCGGTAACGTCTCTGCTCTTAGTAGTAAACCTGCCCCCCCCCCATTCTCAGAAGCTGCAGCATTTGCTAAGTACACTGTATTTTGCAGGGTGCGGTTAGAAATGTCATTGTTTACACGGCGCTCGCCTCCTGTCCGGTAGGCTGAGCTTTTGCCGCCTCCCGGGTGGGGGGTTGAGTGGGTGGAGGGTGCACTGCTGCCCTTGGCCCTGTGTCGGCACACTTGTTTCCACTACCCTCCCCCTGAATATAACCCATGTACACTTGTCCCAGTTCCTCCTTGACTCCTCCCTCTTCTGCTTCAAGTCCTGCAGGAGCTTCTTGTGCTGTTCCCTCTGCATTACCGTGCGATCTGGGTGAATGAATACATCCCGAAATGCCTTGCTCCTTGCTAAGTTTTTTTGCCTGTCGAATAACCTGCCATTTCTCCTCCTCACTCACTAGTGTGATCCTGAGGGGGCGAGGCTTATTCCCCTGCTTTTGTCCCAGCCTCCTCACATCCTGAGGGGTTGATGGAATCTTCAGAACCTCTGTACAAATATTTTGAAACAGCACCTCATCGTGTGTTACCTTACTCACAGTTCCCTCCGCCTGGCTCTCTGGGACTCCAAAAACCATTACATTGTTCCTGCGCTGGAGACGTTCTTGGTGTTCCTCCTCTCCCCTAACAGTAGGTCCGTTAATTTTCATGTCCTCGACACACTTCTTCAAAGTCCCAAGCTGTTGTAGAACCTGTTCAGATCCTGCATTACTCTCCGCCACCCCCGTGGCCCTGCTAATATGTCAGCATAACTCCTCTTAGCAACCACCTCCAGTCTATCGGCTACTTCCTCAGTCTTAACAAGGATCTCTTTCCCAACTTCATTCACCTTGACTATGCAGCCAGACTATGCAGCAATACCAGCAACAGCCATCATGCTTTACGGCAATTAGTAACTTCCTAAACGTTGAATTAGTCAGACCTATATCCTCCATATGCGACGTCTCCCTGCAGTAATCACATATCAAACTCATGGTTGTTGTTGTTGTGAGGGGGGGGGGGGCGCAGACTGTGTATAAATCTAAACCTATTTAAAAAAATAAAGAGAGAAAAAGAACAGTACTTAGCTACTCTCTGTTGCCTATAGAGTTGTCGTCTGTGACTGCGTACACTGTATCTCCCTGTGAATGGTGTATTGTAGGCACAGTTTCAGTCCTTGAGAAAGCACACAAACAAAATAAAATTTAAAGTCTCTGTGGCACCTATGACACGACTTGGTTTCAGCTGGCACGGCGCCTTTCCAGCTTGCTTGCTAGTGAGCGCTCACTTTAAGTTATTTACAACTTCTGCGGTCACTGATGACACTATGAACTATCACTGTGTACACTGTATCTCCCTGTGAGTGGTGTATTATAAACACAATTTCAGTCCTTGAGAAAGTACACAATCAAAATAAAATTTAAAGTTTCTGTGGCACCTATGACACGAATAGGCTGGCAGTTGTCCTTACCAGCTTGATTGCCAATATGTATTCACTTTTAAGTTATTTACAGTCTCTTCTTCGGTCACTGATGACACTATGAACTGATTTACCTAAAATCACAGTACTACACTCTCTGGTTGACCTTTATCACAGCCGTGACCACAACTCCTTAAAAAAAAAAAGCTTTGTCATATGGCAGTGATTTTGTGGTTATAGGCCTGTGACCCTGGCTGTACCTCCAACTCGGTGGAAATTGAGTTTTCAAAAACACAATCACGTCTAGCATTAAAAGTCCTACATCGATTTACACTTTCACATCACTAAGACGATCTTCATTATCTTATGTAATCACTGTCCAATTTCTGCCGCTCTACATCGAAGGCCCGAATGCCGAACACGCTTTGTTACAGAGACGCAAAACGACCCGACCCGGCCATGACACACTACCAGATTGTTCCAACTTCCAATAGTTCACAACTCTCACCCCAAAAGCATTTGCCCTGCCAATTTTCTGAATTTGTCACTTATGGCATCTTCAACCTTAAGCTGTGACCTTTTGTGGGGCGGGCATCTGCCAGCTCCAAGTATGAACACTCGACTGAGTAATTTATTTTGACTTGATTTAAATTTATTGAGTAAAAGTTCAAATACATTCCGACCTCTTTGAACTCTGTCTGTGTCTTGTTCGATACCTTGTCTACCGACATATATATTGTCTTTCCTGTGCCAGGTGGAAGGGAGGCTGGCTATATATTACTATAGTCAGTTGAATTATTTTAGCTAACCGCTTACTTATATTTTATACTTAATTAGCCTATTTGCTCACACATGATAAGAGGATCCAGTGGTGTTCGACCCTGGCCTTGTTCACGAGTCAAGAAACACTGCTCAACTGAGCGTAAGGTTTAGCGGCACCAAATTGATGGCAAATTGTTAGCATTATTTTTAAATGGAATCACTGAGACTTGAAGTTGATAACAGAAAATATCTCACTTAAGTAAATGAAGAATGAAGACAATTAAAGTACTGAGAGTATGTTAAGGACGCCAGCAGCCTGACAGGTCGGCCATTATGGCCACTAGTTATTTTCACAACGTAAATTTCAGTGTATCAAAGTCAATACTAAGTAATTCAGATATATTATTTCACTTACAAATAGTGGCGTAGTAATGGAAAGTGGCAGCGCCAAATTTAAAATCAGTTTACCTGGACTGTAGCTGCTTCCAAAAGACCTGGGCTCACTATAATATCATTTTTGTGCTTTATAATTTACATCAAATGTACCAACATTTGCAATTATCCAATGTGTAGTGGTAGGCTGCCCTGCTCCTACACATTTACCACAAAATCCCTTTCCAAAGGGATTAAGTGTTTTTCTACACTGTCGCTGTTGCTTATACGACCACCAATTGTCTTTCAGAGGTCAGAAAATCCTGAAAATATGGTGTGGTAAGGTTGCCATCAAGAAATATCTGAATAACTGGAAAATTTATTTGAACCAAAATACAAAAACCTTGGCCATGACTGAGGCCCGACTAGGCACAAAACTTCACATAGGAAACAAAAAACATCATAAAAATACGAATTTCAAATAGGAAAAATAAAATTGCATGAAATACAATCATGTGAATAAAATTGCACGTGGAAAATCACATGATACAAAAATAGCATAAAAATTCCCCTAAGGAGCAAATTTACAATATACAGTACATTGTATAGATGAATTAAAATGAAAGATATTTCCTATAATTACTTAGCATTTCAATATGGGTAAGTGTGCTGTATATATAACACTTGGTTATAATTGCCTGATTTACAAACAATAATAAAATGGATTGCATAAATGTAAACAAAAACCTTAATGACTCAAGGAAAATGGGAAACATATTCAAAATAAAATATAATAATAATAATAATAATAATAATATACAAAAGCCAAATTTCATAGTCTTCCTAGCATGAGATTAATTATGTACTGTACAGAGCTGAATTTTGATGAACCTGTATTCTGAAAATAAAATTTGTAATTATTTTATAAAGTACGTATTGTTATTTTTTAAATTTTCGCTGGTAAACTTTTTTCGACTGAAGATATTTGTAATTTTTTAACTTTTTATTCCATTCTATAACTCAATATATACATTCTTTACAATTGGTCGACTTATGCAGTATAATTCCTATACAGAGTAATTTGTATAACTGATTTCAGTTCCCTATTTATACAGGAATATGTATACACAAACATATCGATAACAAATTTAGGTACAAATTATATAAAAGTATATAGCAAAGGATATATATATATATATGTAAGATCACTTGAAGGAAATAAAAAATATATCAAAGTCCTCTTATATTTTTTACAAAGTATACGTAATACACAACATCTTTACTACGCTCCCATACACTTCTGATATTCTGTGTATGACTTGTGTTGGATATGGGCCATGTTGTTGAGTATGAGGAGGCAGTTACACAGTATCATCTCCACTTTACACAGTTTTGCAAGTCGAGAATCTGTATACGAGTTCCAGTTGTGTTTCAGTAACCGAGTTATCGCAAAATAAGACCAACATCAAAAATAAGTAACATGATGGGAGAGAATGTTGCTTTGTGCTGTTTAGTCATGGCCTCAAAACTCATCAACTCAGGGAGAAATATAGTCTTTTCCCATAATTTTTTTTTTCCGGTTGCCAGAAGGCTGTGCATATAGTCACTACCACAACTCTGGGGGCCACGTCGAACATGAAGTTTCTTGTTGTAGTAACTACTTTCCAGCTCTCGGAACTAACACAACCTTACCAATGTCAACCTCGTTTTGTAAAGTAGAAACAACGCCCATGCTAATTTACATAATCATAATGTGTTGCACAATTGTTTGTTTTCGATTAGTTTGTACTGCACATATATAATTATTGTTTACTTTTAGGGGAGAATACTGTAAGAGGTCGCTTAATAAAGCACACAGAGTAGAGTCACTGTGAATTTTCATGTTGGGAGATTTACAATGGATGAGAATTAGTCACTGGTTCCTGGGGTATGCCAGGACACGCGGCAGCTGGCTATGCTGGCTGGCCGCTCTCTCTTTGGTGTTGCTACCTCGTCGTCAACCTCAACCTCGGGTGAGCTGCCTGCCTGGACAAGGTCGATCTCACAACGCTCCCTCTGCACTGGGGCCGAGGTCATGCGGCGTCATGCGGCATCTCGGTGAGGTCTTGGATCATTGCGGTCGATGTCGAGGACTGGCGCAGACCCGAGGCGCAGTTGACGACGGACGTGGCGGGAGACGCTCTGACTGGTGGCAATGGGCGGTAGCACAACATTGGAGGAGGTAGGGCGCGGGTGTGGTAGGGAGGCCAAGGGCGGTAAGGAAGGCGGCGGGGACACCAGTGTTGGTGGCAATGAGAAGTTGGAGTTCCGTGGAGTAGGGTTTAGTGGCACCCTCCCTGACCTTGAGGTTCGGGCTGAGATGGTGCTGGTGCCGCCTCCCAGCCGAGCCCCTCGCCATGAGCCTGCCTCGCCATCCTCAGATCCCAGACTCCGTGGCCCACAAGATTCTAAAGACTCCTGAGAGCCAACAGAGGCACGGGAGTTACGGGAGAGAGGGCGCAAGGCAGTGGTGTTAGAACTCCGGGAGGTGGTGCGAGAGGAGGTAGCGCGGGCGCCTACCGTGCGTAATGCAGAACTATAGACTCGTAAGTCGCGCACCTGAGCTCTCAGTCTGTGGACCTCCCCGCGCAGGTCCGCCACCCGCCGTTCCCCTGCCTCCACCTGCTGTTGCATCTGCAATTCCCGCCATCTGTGCTGCTCCTGCTCCTCCTCTGATAGTTTTTGCTGGTTTGCTAATTGCTGCTCCAGCTGCACCACCCGCTGAGTACGTTCATCCAGTAGTTTGTTGAGCTCAGCCACATTCGCCCTCCAAGTCTCCTCATCCGTGAGAGTCACATGTCGCAGGTGAGCCTCGAACTGTAGGTCTGAAACACAAGGCTACAGTAAGTCACAGTGTAGTACAGTCATAGACAGCTGATAACTCCTCATATAGTATTTCCACGCTAACCTGGCCCATAAGCCACGCCCCTTTTCTATATTAATAGCTGATTGGTTCATATAAAATTCAAACTAAATGTGTACTATCAAATGATTTCAAGGCATTAGCACTTCAGAGAGGATGTTAGAAAATTTTAAATATTTATCATAAAAGGTCGATATAAATACGCGCTTTTACATGCGCAGTTCGGGGGGAGGTAAAACGCTCAGGGGAACCAATCAGCTATTTGTAGCTAAAGACGAGGGACGGAGCTTAGTGGCCAGGTTAACGTGGAAAGGGTATAGTGTTGCCAAGGCTCTAAGGAAATATACCTGAACTATATATTGTCAACAACAAGATAACAAGCATTTCAAAAGTAAATAAATGATTATTAATAATAGTGACGCCACATCCCCAGAAACACAAAATCATCTTAGCAGAAGACTCCAGCGGGTAACACAAACTAATGATATACAGTACTTTAAATATGTGGCCTTCATATCTGATACGGACCTTGGCACCTCCTAGGAAAAAATACAAATGCCAAATTAGAACATCATAACTCTCTTACTGCTTCATATACAGTCTGAACAGTAACAAAACCGGACGTGGGTTCGACTGTTCTATCGTTCCTGCGGCAGACGAAATATTGAAAATACACGTTGTGAAGTACAGTTATGAGCTGGGAAAAATACTCTTTATTGCTCTTTTTTAGCCATTTTTCACTTATTCATTCAAATTACATATTTTCTAAACTGCCAACCCCTAATTATATCATGGCAGGCATGCGAAATATACCCCTTTAATTGCGCCAATTGAACACGCACACGAAGGGATCCAGTTAGAACATGCACATTCAGGCACTGGATGCACAAGGTGTAACTATAGGAATTGTTGTATTTTAGAAATACTGATAAAAACAAAGTCGTAATTTATAAGAATATATGCACCTGAATGTAAATTTAAGTGAAAAATGTCGACGAGTTTGAGTCGAATTTATTGATTCGATGTTGAAAATGCACGGGTCTGTCGTGAGGCCAAGGGCAGGAAGGCGCATGTCGTGTGCTTTAAGAGGTCTCATTTTGGCAGGAAGGTTATTTTTTAATGGTCACGATATATAAAGAAATTAAACAAGAAAATTAAAGAAAGGAAGAGACAGCAAGGTCAATTGCAGTTAATCCTCAAATACTGTTCCGTTTTCTGTGAAAGCAAAAATATATTTTTCCGGGTAACTTTACCATTTACAATTTAACCAACTGTTGTGCTTATTTCTCCATTAAATCGCCACATATATTTGAGTTTCCAATGATCATTCATATTACTTATTGCCCAAAAATAGTGACATCACTATTTAAGTCAGTTAAAGTACATACTGTATTATCATTTCCCTGTCAAGCAAATATACTATCATTAACTTTTAAGTCCGAAACAAATGTGGTCATGCAAGATTCCATTACAACCTCATGTTAGCCAGTCGTGGCCACCACTACCATGACGCTACCACGAATGAAGTACTGTACCCACGGCTTGTCACAAAAATCAATACTCCTAGTTGCTCTGACTTCGATAAGAGCTACACAGGGACTTTCGATTTTGATATGAAATTAGGAGCAGTGTAAAGAGGAAGGCATCTAAGTCAAGGCAACTTTTGTGAACGTGATATATATAGAGCGATTTACTCCAGTTGGATAAAAGGGTGGAAGTAGAAGTGGTGGTCGGGGCTTGAGCTTACCTCCCCTCACCCTTCCTCCACTCCCATGCCACCCCTTCCCTACCACCTCCACCCACGCAACACACCACCTAACCACCCACACCATACCGCCTCCCCAACCACTTCCACCCACCCAACACCACCCCCACTCATGCGCAACCACTCTCCACTACCCCCCCATCTATGCTACACCCTCCCAACCACACCCAACTCCATCTCTTCACCACAAATAAACTCCACACCCACACAATACGTCCCTCCACCACCCCTACCCACACCACACCATCTCCGCCCACACTGAACCTCTAGGCACACATAACCAAAGTGACTGTAGAAAAAATTAATAATATCAATGAATGTATGAAGGCAGGAACATGTATATACAGTATCTGAGAATATTAGTAAATAAAAAAGGACAACAAAATCAGGTTTGTCTTGTCATCATTGTGGTCGAGTGAATTCAATAGCTCCACCTAATATTTAAATGCCGGACCACACTGCCTCCATTGATGAATCCGCAGCTCTGGGTGGCTCTCTGACATTTAACGCATAAAAAACAGATACCTAGTCAGTTTACTTTGAGCTTTGCCTGAAGAATAAAAAAAAAAAACAATGCCACCACTAGCATTCAGTAGCACCTGGCATTTAAGGGTGGTACGCCAGACGAACGTTCTTTTGCCTTTACTGACGCTTGCAAGGAGTTTCAGGTAAGTTGTCCTTGGTCGTATAGCCACAGGTCCCGGCCACACGTATTAGCGACGAATGTGTTGCTCTTGGTGCGTGCCTGTGTGACCTTGCTTATGTGAGGTAACTATGAGGTAGCGTGGAGGCATCTCACTTGTAGTAGCGTGTGATTACAGGGGGTTGTGCCCATAAATGCTGAGGGTTACAGGTGTTTGTTGTGAGTATAGGAATGAGTACAGAAATGCAGTTACAGGTGTAAGCGTGTGTGTACAGGTGTTGGCCCAACTAACTGGCTCTGGCTGTGTCAATAGGTGTCATAATTACTGTGGTCTAACGTACAGCACCACGAGAAGCTTCATGGATCGCAGCTCAGTTTTGTTCAGCACTTTCACATCACAAATAACTAAGTCAAGGACGATAACCTAACCTAACCTACCAAAGCTACGTCCCTTATAAACTATTCACATCAATCTTTATAAATTACTAACTCTATCTGTCAGTCTTTAATACAATATATACATAAAACATACACCAAAATATATGGGAATAAAATATATACACTGAAAATACAACGTTAATTGAAAGCAAAAAATAAAAATAAAAAAATAAAAAAATTGGTGATATGTATTTTTACTGTGTGTGTGTGTGTGTGTGTGTGTGTGTGTGTGTGCCCCATAATAAGACAATATGATGACTGGGAATATGATCTTTATTTTAAGATATTGTAGACAGGTAGAGTCGAGACGGATGTAGACAGGTGAAGGCAAGGTAGACAGGTAAAGGCAGGGTAGACAGGGAAAGGCAGGGTAGACAGGTAGATGTAGACAGGACCTACCGTCACACCGTTGCTGGAGGAGTTGCACTTGGTGATGAAGACCTTGCAGGACTGCCTCGTGCTCAGCCTGCAGGAACCGTACTGCCTCGTGTACGCTGCCGCCCACCCTGCAATACCAACACCGGTTATCCTTCAGCCTTGCAACACAACACTGGATATGATTCACACCTTACAACACAATACTGGATAGGATTCAGCCTTGCAACACAACATTGGATATGATTCAGCCTTGCAACACACACCTGAAACACAACATTGGTTATCAATGAGACGCAACACATACATATACAACAACACTGGCTAGCCTTTATTCTTGCAACACATTATCTCCAAGACAACACAGTTATCCTCCAGTTGTCTGCACCATTCAGTTTATCACTCACTGGATGAAACAGGGCACAGAGTCTCACGAATAAGCTTTAGACAAACGACTACTTGGTGACTATGGGAGGGAGAGAGTCACACCCCAGGGAGAATCACACCACACCCCAGGGAGAGAGTCACACCCTTCACCCCCAGGGATAAGGGATAGAGTGTCACCCCACACCAGTGAGTATAAGCGTGTTGCTAGGTCAGGGTACTCAGCAGCAATGGTTCCTACGTTAAAATTTGCATCGTAACTCGAATCGTAAGTATGCAGACCTCTCTCTCTCTCTCTTATACCCTGAACACGCTATAAAGACACACGGTTTCCCCAGCAAAAGGTGGAGAAAATATGACAGTAATGGAAGCTTCTTGACAATCATAACAGCATGACATGATGAGGCCAAGACTCCTACACCTTGACCCTCCTCACCCTCCTTTAACGCCACTGTTGACAGCTACTTTCCCTTAGTAACAACGATGTGGTAATTAGATGTTTAATGGCTTACAGGGTCATGCCAAGAGGTCAAAGCTGGCACTGATACTATTTTTAGTCTATCTCTGTGTGAGTGTTTTGTTTTTCTGTGTAAATAAGTCTATTGTACGTGGGTTAAAAATTCCATGTCACGTTAACTTTGAGGGCCAGATCGTGAGAAAAATTTCAAGTGCGTTGGTGAATGATACCATCTCCTTAACCAACTTGACTCTGTACACACACACACGTAACCCTAACCTAACCTACTAGCACTTTCCCATTCATGACCCTTCCCCTTCTAGACTCCCATGACTGCTGCTGGATACTGAACTCTGTCGTCATCAATAGTGCAGGTAAAGTAAGTAGTACCAACCCTGTTAGAGTGAATATCCACCGACCTGGTCTCTTCCTTACCTGGGGTCGTCAACAGTGGCCGCAGGGGTGTAATTCTATGGCTTACCAACTCTAGTGAACTGATATCCCACTTTACACCTGCGTGTGTGTGTGGGGGAGGTGGTGGTAAGAGGCCAAATGACCTTTGACCTTTATGTCCTCCAAAACAAAACAGTACAAAGGTTTGCCATGATGAATAAACAAGACAAGTTTAAACCCCGTATCTCCTTCCTGTGTTGACTTAATCGTAATACACATCCCCACTTGGAACAGTTACCACCCAGACATTGTACTCACTTGGAACAGTTACCACCCAGACATTGTACTCACTTGGAACAGTTACCACCCAGACATTGTACTCACTTGGAACAGTTACCACCCAGACATTGTACCACTTGGAACAGTTAACCCCACCCAGACATTGTACCACTTGGAACAGTTACCACCCAGACATTGTACCACTTGGAACAGTTACCACCCAGACATTGTACTCACTTGGAACAGTTACCACCCAGACATTGTACTCACTTGGAACAGCAGACATTGTACTCACTTGGAACAGTTACCACCCAGACATTGTACCACTTGGAACAGTTACCACCCAGACAATGTACTCACTTGGAACAGTTACCACCCAGACATTGTACTCACTTGGAACAGTTACCACCCAGACATTGTACCACTTGGAACAGTTACCACCCAGACATTGTACCACTTGGAACAGTTACCACCCAGACATTGTGTGTCATTCTAGTTCCTCATTCTCAACATTTACGTGTATATCACCTCATTCTCTTAGAGTTATGAGAACATAGAGAGAGTACTTGCAAACATACATTCATACAACAATCTATACATACTGTACATCCATACTTACACACATTCATACAACTATCTATACATACATACATACTGACTCGGCTGCTAGGGGTCTCAGGGTGAGTGAGAGTCTCTAACGGTCTGGAGTTATTATGGGTCAGTCTGCGGTGTACTGCAGTAAGTGGGTCGTTCGATCGCCGCCACGTCACGCTACCCACACTATATTGTCGCTTCGTATACGGTAATCAAGGTCACTTTGTATACGGTAATCAAGGTCGCATCGTACACGGTAATCAAGGTCGCTTCGTACACGGTAATCAAGGTCGCTTAGTACACGGTAATCAAGGTCGCTTCGTACACGGTAATCAAGGTCGCTACGTACACGGTAATCAAGGTCGCTTCGTACACGGTAATCAAGGTCGCTACGTACACAGTAATCAAGGTCGCTTCGTACACGGTAATCAAGGTCGCTACGTACACAGTAATCAAGGTCGCATCGTACACGGTAATCAAGGTCGCTTAGTACACGGTAATCAAGGTCGCTTCGTATACGGGGATTCGGCCTCTCTCTCTGCTAAATGACGAGGCGAGGCATTGCATCATAGATTGTATAAATCCTGATAAATTTTTTACATTGAAACTGTGTGTGTGTGTGTGTGTGTGTGTGTGTGTGTGTGTGTACAGATTCGTGTAAGCTTAAGATATGTGTGTGGTGAGGCGTCCTATTTACTCACCGTCACTAAGCAACCACTATCATTCTGTGTGTGTGTGTGAATGTGTGTGTGACAGAGAGAAAGACTATCACACCTTCACATGTCTAGATAACATAACTCGTATTTATATATGAACCGGATATCTACAGTATACTTAACAAGCCCCGGAAAAAATAACCTAACCTAACCAGTATCTTAAAGCGAATCGAGGTGTCTCAGAAAAATGTATACACACCACATTACAGATTATTCGTGGAGAACCTGTGAATGTTTCTGATACAGGAGCAATATTGTCCCGACTTCTGCAGGAGGAGGAGGAGGAGGAGGAACTTGCATATCAATAAGTGAGGAAATGTAAGGTAGTGTGTGTGTGTGTGTGTGTGTGTGTGTGTGTGTGTGTGTGTGTGTGATGTGGGTTGACGGAGGACAAACACTGATGTAGCATTCTGTGTTTCTGTGAGGTTTCCATGCGAATGGTCACCTTCAAGGCCTGGCCACACCCAAAGTGCTGCAATACTCACACACTCATTATTATCCACACTCACAGCCACACCATGCCACAGCACCGTACCCACACAACCAGGTAGAATATATCCACAACAACCTAGTCAGTATATTAACCCCTCCCTCACATCCACATGAGGTCAAATACAATACAACACTTGGTTCGCCTGATGATTATACACCCTAGCTTATGTCACCTTAAAATTATCCATCCTAACAGAAACCTAACCTAACCTCGGGTGAAATAAACTGGGGTGTCTATTATCCAGGTGACCCCAGTTTAGCCTATACACCAAGATACATGTGGGTAGATGGTTCTATTGCGTGTTGTGATGAACTAATGAGTATATACGATTGGCGACGAGGACTATTCTGCCTCACAACCACACACTGACTGACCTATAAACTGTGAGAGGGTGAGAACTAGCAGCTGTTGGGTGGGTGATTAGGTGGGAAGACCCGCGTGTAGAGGGACCTGGTGTTGAGAGGACCTACCTGTAGGAGGTGGATCTGGAGTTGGGAGGAGAATCCCTCGCCTTCCGTGAGAGATCAGAGGTGAGGTCATTGCGGGTTGGGTCGAGGACGGTGAGGTCGCGGCCAAGCTGGCTCTCCGTGGCAAACACACTGCCGCACGCCATCACTGTAACACAACACTGAGTTAGATTTACTGCACTGTATTCTTCACTGTATCACTTGCTGAAATATACACCGGCATACACTGACAATCACTGTATGAACAAGAACACTCACTGTAATACCCACAACGTTTCAGTAACCAAACATCATCTTAAGTTGCCAAACATCATCATCAACTCAAATTACCAAACATCATCATTAACTCGAATGAGTTGGATAGCTTCAAACATAGGTTGGATGGATATATGAGCGATAGGGGTTGGGTGTAAATGGGACTGCCCAGTAAGGGCCAATAGGCCCGCTGCAGTTTCCTCCAGTCTTATGTTCTTATATCACTTACGGCAGTATTTATCATCATACATTAACCTTCACTGTTATACCAACACTTAATACACTGCATCACATATACTTAAGTAACCATAATAACACAGCATAACTTATATAGGACAGACGACCCCGAAACCTACCTAAGCATCCGCTCCAATGCGATAAACATAAACAACATTATTTTCCCTCATACCATCTGAAACAGGTTATTCAAGTCTTAAAATTTCACGATAATACAGTTATAAAACAGTGAGAATGCTGACCCGGTCTCGTCTGGTTGGCCGCAGTAATACAGGAACGGTGGAAAATCTCAAATATCTGCAGTGGATTCTTGCACAGCCAAGGACGGAAGTGAACCGCTGGAGGTGTTGGGTGGACTGAACTGGCGGGCGAGAGTGTAATCTGAAGAGTCTCTTATGATAGTGGCGCCCCTGTGCTTAGTGGCGATAAGATTAGGACGAGCGGATGAGGGAAGGAAAGAAATTGTGATAGAGACTGAGAGAGAGGGAGATAGGAAGAATGTGAGAGGAGAGAAATAATGAGAAACATAGTGGAAGAAAGTGTGAGAGGAATAACAAAGAAGAAGGAAGAAAGGAAGACAAAGAGAGAGAAAAAATATGAAAGACGAGAGAATGAAAGAGAAGTCAACGATATACACTGCCACTAATTATAATTAAAAACATCAACGATTTACTGAATAAAAGACAAGAATTAACTAAACCCTTTATGCCCTCACCAGCACCCTGCCCCGGCCACTCAGAGAAGACCCACAAAACGTCTCATTCTCCCCGCCAAGACACCAGAGACGCTACCACCCTCAGCCATACATTATCATACATCCTGACGTTAATTTCTCCCTGTAACTAGGAAAGGGAGAATATATTGGCTAGTTACGGTAGAGTCTCAGCGCTATTACGAGGTCACTTTTACCGCTATCTCTGTGCAGTAGCTGAAGGAAGTCAGATAAATGCATTCTCACGTCCTCAGTTAGAAAGAAAAAAAAGTTACGGTAAGACATGCGTTCTCCGCGACCCTCTGTGTATAAGGTCGCACCTGTGTTGATCATTATAGCTCAGGCCAGGTGTGTCGCCGGTCCCAAGAAGGTGGGGGAAGTCCTATTCAGTTACCTGTAGGAGGAGGACTCTGTCACTTGAGCAATGACGACCTTCGCCTGATGGTGTGGTGAACGACCTGTGTACCTGGGATCACGACTTGGCTAACTGGCGGGAATCTTTACGTTACATGAAACTCGTTTTCTTTACTAATGACTGACGGATGATGTAATGTTTCCCGGTGTGTTATTGTCTGTTTGCCTTTAACGTCATCTGGTAGTTTTATTAAATCTGTTTTTATTTATTAATGGAAAGTTTTGTGAAAGAATTTAATCCAACGAAAGTTTAGAGGAATGCTGACACACAGTGGACGAGGGAGGCGGTGGAGGTGAGGGTGACTTGGCCAGTACAGGTGACCTTCCCGCCCGTTAGCCGAGGGAGGGACGGAGGGGAGCTGACTCACTACTCCCTCCTATCCTCTCCCCCATCACCTTCCTCCTTCCTCTCTCACTGTTCCACCTCCTTCGCCCCTCCACACCCCCCTCCAACTCCTTCCGCCCTCTCTCTCTCACCACGCCCGCTACTCCTGATCCACAAGTTATGCCGCCACACACAGCAAAAAAGGAGAGCTTCAGGATCGCTATTTTGTGGAAAACTCCCCATTAGAGGTACTGCAAACTGAACACTCCAACCCCACACAGTGTTACCCCTTGGGACACAGAAGGTCGAATGTCCCGGCACACTAACACAGCGAGGACGACGATATTGATCCGGCAACACGAGGCACTGTAGAACATAGAATACAAAGGTCATTTAGACAATCTTTTGTTAGTTTCATGACCACAATGACGCAGGCTGGACGACCACAACAACATAGGCTGGACGACCACAATAAGCCTGGACGACCACAACAACACAGCCTGGACGACCACAACACAGACTGGACGACCACAACACAGGCTGGACGACCACAATAAGCCTGGACGACCACAACACAAGCTGGACGACCTCAACAACACAGACTGGACGACCAAAACACAAGCTGGACGACCTCAACAACACAGGCTGGACGACCACTCATCCTATATACCCAAGATTAAATGCTTTTGGGTCACTTTCTGATTATATATTGACAAACAACATGTTAATTACTTTACCTGTTCGTTATATCAGAATCTGTAAACATAGTCGCATTTCTGTAAGTAAATAATACGGAATTAACTGAACTACATCTAGTTTACAATACTGTAACAACAGGAATTATAGCTGTACCTGTACTTTATACTTGGATCTGTAATCTTAGTGATGATTATGAATGGATCACCTGAAGAATACATACATACATACATACATACATACATTCATACATACATACAGACATACATTCATACATACATAAATACATACACAGACATAAAAAGTTATTTATATCTACACAGACAGACAGACAGGTGAGTTATAACAAATGGTTGAAGGTAACGTAACAGACAATAAAGCTACGGATTTAACTATGAACATACTGCGTTGTGATTGGTAGAGAGAGGACCGCGAGGACACCTGCAATTGGCTCCTCAGACCATGATGTTTGGCAGTGAGCGACTGGTGTAATATTCAACATGGTACTGCATTAATAACACTAATAGCTTATCGATAGAGAGTGAGTATTGAGTGTGTGTGTGTGTGTGTTTCTCTCCTACACCCAAACCTTCCTCATAGGTGTGGGTGTAGGAGACAGGATGGAGGGAGGATGTAGTAAATATGGGAGGGGTGAATGGGAGAGGAATAGTGGTGAGAGGGAGGGGGAAGTCGGTGGGGGAGGGTGTGATGGGGAAGGAGGGTGAGAGGGATGAGGTGAGGATGGTATAGGGAAAGAAGAAGAGGGAGGAAGGGTGAGGGAAGGGTGGGGAGGATCTATGGGAAAGGGAGGGGGAGATGTATGAGGTGGTGAGGGAGAGGAAGAGAGAGTAAGGGAGGAGTGAAGGGGGGGGGATGTAGGTATGTGGGTCAGGGGGGAAACATAATCAGTAGCCGCTGGTGGTAAGGGTCTGACTGTTGGTACACACACACCACACACACACCACAGAGACACACACACACCTGATAATTCGTCCTTGTGTCCAGAATAACTTAAGCTTCGCCATGTTTCACAGTATTTAAGGACCTCGTCACGCCACTACCCGCATAAATGTGGATTTTATTATACCACTACCCAGAAACGAGTGGATTTTGCGGTACTGTTACCCTCATATGCGTGGATTTTAACGTACTGTTACCATCACACACGTGGATTTTGTCGTACTGTTACCCTCATACGCGTGGATTTTGCCGTATTGTTACCCTCATGCGCGTGGATTTTGTCGTATTGTTACCCTCATACGCGTGGATTTTGCCGTACTGTTACTCTCACATGCGTGGATTTTGTCGTATTGTTACCCTCATACGCGTGGATTTTGCCGTACTGTTACTCTCACATGCGTGGATTTTGTCGTATTGTTACCCTCATGCGCGTGGATTTTGCCGTACTGTTACTCTCACATGCGTGGATTTTGCCGTATTGTTACCCTCATACGCGTGGATTTTGCCGTACTGTTACTCTCACATGCGTGGATTTTGTCGTATTGTTACCCTCATACGCGTGGATTTTGCCGTACTGTTACTCTCTACATGCGTGGATTTTAATGTATTGTTACCTCTATGCTGCGGATTTTGCCGTACTGTTACCTTTACATGCGTGGATTTTGTCGTATTGGTTACCCCTCATACGCGGGATTTAGCCGCGTATTCGTTACCTCTTTCTGCCACATGCGGATTTTGGTCGTATTGTTACCCCCATACGCTGCGGGATTTTGCCGCACTGTTACTACTACGCGTGGATTTTGTGGTCGCATTGGTGTTGGCCCTCTATACGCTGCGGATTTTTGCCGTACTGTTACTTCCTACATGCGTGATTTTGCCGCATTGTTACGCGTGATTTTGCCGTATTGTTACCCTCATACGCCGCGGGATTTTGCCGCATTGTTACTCTCGCTACGCGCGGATTTTGCCGCATTGTTACTCTCTACATGCGGATTTTGTCGAATTGTTACCTCATACGCCGTAGATTTTGCCGCATTGTTACTCTCTACATGCGTGATTTTGTCGTAATTGTTACCCTCATACGCGTGGATTTTGTCGAATTGTTACCCCTCATACGCGTGGATTTTGCCGTATTGTTACCTCATACGCTGCGGATTTTGCCGTATTGTTACCCCTTTCATACGCCGCGGGATTTTGCCGTATTGGTGCTACCCTCTATACGCGCGTGGATTTGCCGTATTGTTACCTCATACGCTGCGGATTTTGCCGCATTGTTACCTCTTCTACATGCGTGATTTTTGCCGTATTGTTACCCTCATACGCTGGATTTTGCGCATTGTTACCTCATACGCGTGATTTTTCCGATATTGTTACCCTCATACGCCGTTTTGCCGCATTTTGCCGTTACCTTCATACGCGTGGATTTTGCCGTATTGTTACCCTCATACGCGTGGATTTTGCCGTATTGTTACCCTCATATGCGTGGATTTTGCCGTATTGTTACCCTCATATGCGTGGATTTTGCCGTATTGTTACCCTCATATGCGTG